CTCCGCAGGTCTGTCCTCACTAATGGGACAAACTCACACTTTGGGTCAGTGTTTACGCGTCAGATCTGGACAGTCTCGCGCCCTCATTTTACTTCCTGTTTTATAACAAAGAACAGAGAGATGGGAGCGTCTGGGCTGATGATAACTGGTCTAACAGCGTGGGAAAGTAGGAGATGCCCCATTAGCAAAAACACATTTAGAGCAGTGTAAATATCCACGCTATTAAAGCAGGTTCAATCATTAACAGGTTCGAATGGGACTATTGTTCGGAATCTAGGGCAAAAATTCCCTGGTGTTTTTTTTTTTTTTTTACACAATTGCCAGTTGTCTGAAGCTTGAGATGAAGGTAATTTTTTCTTTTGATTTCAAATCTCTACTTTAACCCCTTATGAAGAAGGTGCAATCCTGTATAAGCAATTGCATCATTTATTTTGGGTAAAAAATATACAAAAATCATATCAGGTTACATAATTGTATTAATGAAAAATGGGAAAATCCAAAATAAAGCAATAACATCTCACAGGTCACGATACGATACATATCTCGATACAGTGCACTTTCGATTCGATATGATATATTTCAAATCGATTCGGTACGGTTCAATAAAAAATAAAGGCTAAATGATGGCTGTGATACTAAAAGTCTTTGTTAAACCATTTCTTGTGCAAAGTTCATATGAAACACAAACATTTTAATCATCAAAACAGTAAAAATGTCTAATGTGTCGCATAAATGAGCTTCCTTTCACTCCACAAGCAACAAAACTGTAGCTCTGTAACAAAATAATTTTGTAAAACACACCTAAAAATACTCTTGGTGATATAGCGATACAGAAGCCCATGATATCGATACTATATCATCAATTAAACAATACGATATATCGATATGCCGATATTTTTGCACACCCCTAGTACTGGCGTTCATTCCCCAGCAGAGGCCGATATTTTATTTGAGTCATCCGGTTGCCTAAATACACACACACACACACAAAAAGCATAAAGATGATCACTATAGCTCTGCAGTCGTCCCTCACTATAACGCGGTTCACCATTCGCGGTCTCACTGTTTCGCAGATTTTTTTGTGTGCAATTTTACAAGCATTATGTTCCTTCTCCTGCGTCCTGATTGGCTAAGGAACCCATTGTAGTCCACTGTCAATCAATCTCCTTCATGCTGTGTCTCCTGCACAGTACAGAATGCGTTCAGTTTGTTAAATTTACATAAATGTTCGATCTCTAGGAGTGCGATTCTGAAGTGCTGTATGTTTGCAAGTTTTTTCCCTGACAAAACCCACAATGTCGACAAAACGTTCTGCACCGACAAAGGCTCCTGCGGTGGCACCCAAAAGACAGAGGAAGATGCTAACCATCGCACAAAAAGTTGGACTTCTAGACATGCTGAAGGAAAGTAAGAAGCACTGTAGCAGAGTCCTGCACCGGGATTGGGTACGGGCAAATATTTGCTGAAACGGGTGGGTTTTAAACTTCGGGAATTTTAATGGGCAGGTATGTGATTACACACGGGCGGGTCAGGACTAAATCAGGACTAAACCAGGACTAAACTAGGTCTAAAACCAAGCTGACTACTTTGCGGATTTCACCTGTCGTGGGTTATTTTTAGAACGTGACCCCCGCGATAAACGAGGGAACACTGTATATGAACACTTGAGTCCAAAGATGGTGCTGCAAAAATGTGACTACACAGTTCAGTCATCCAGTTTGTGGCAAAACGAGGTTGTCAATGAGTTTGTACTAAATTCAAATTTGATAATTTGGAGAAGATGACCTAAATCGGCCCTCCATATCAGCCCAAAACTATAGGCAGAGCTCATCAGCCAGGTTTCTCTGGATTCTAAACATTCGGCATCGGCCATAGAAAAACCCATGTTGGTCCATTTCAAATCATCATCCATGGAGACAGTTAATCAATCAATCAAATAATATGTCTAAAAATCTGTATCAGTGAAATAAAATGCAAACATCCATTAAACTTGAGCCTGAAAACAGCACAAATGTAGATTGATGAAAATGATGTAAGTTCAAATCGCGGTCACAAAAGTCTTGGGCAAATGAAGCATGAAGCCACTATGAGAAAATGACATTGTACAAGGCCAGGTAACCACAACGTTACACTCTCGCTCAGGTCTGCAGCAAAATGGCCTCTACGGGAGATGCAAACATCAACAATTGTGCTCAAATTGCTGTTTTCAAAGTACAAATGTTGCAGAATACAAAGTAAGTATAATATTATTGAATGGTGGATAACCTCCCACATAGTAAGACTTGAGGATTCTATAGAGAACTGTCAATCATCTATCAGCTTTGGGCATTTTTACATATTCTTATATACGGGACACAGCTAACGAAGTCGATTCTAGTTAGAAGTTGGGGTTTGTTTCATGAAAATGTAATTAAAATACTGACTTTTTCACCTGTAAACAAGAAAAATTCAACATATATTTACATATCCATTATGTCTAGTCATAGCACGACACAACAACATTCACTGCAAAAAAAAATCTATCTATGTCGTTTAAGTAATTTCAACTTTTGTAACTGAGGCTACATCCACACGACAACGCTTTTTTGTGGTTTGAAAAAAATTTGCGTCCACACAGGTGTCAGATCAATAAATATTACCGTCCAGATGACAACGGAGCACCGAGTGAAAATGATGTAATACATATGATAAAAATTTTTTATAATGCATATCTCATCACAGTTTTTTTTTTGTTTTTTTTTACTTTAAGGGAATTTAGCCTATTTTAGATGTACCCCAGAAAAAAATCTTTAGCCATAAGATTTGAATGAGAATTATTAGAATAAGTTGGTTTCAAAATCCAACAGTTTAATTACCCGTGTGTAATCTTTGTTATTGATCCGTGTGCGTAATCTGCCTGGTGCGTGTTGTCAGCATGGGTGACGAAAGTGGCTCCATAGGCTACACCTGTAACATTTTGACAACAATCTTGCATCGGAGGACAGGGTCATGATGTCATCGTTTTCCAAAAGCTGCGATGCTCCACATGACATCGCAATGCCGACGTTCTCAGATTTCCACTCCACTCTGGAATCCCTTTTCAAAAAACACCCGAAAACGCTGGCTCCGTGTGGATGAAAGGACAAAACTAATTAAAACTTCACCATTTCGACCAAAAAACGTCGTGTGGACACCACCTGAATCCTGAGTACTTTTGGCTAGTTCAAGTGTATTTAGTTTGTAAGTCTAGATGATGTATTTTTAATGCAGACCTATACTGCAAAATGGACTTTTCAGACCTTTAAACCCGTTCTAGTTGTTTCCCCTCGGCATTTACTAATCCAGAGTTGTATTTGGAGTGATTCATGCATGTTTTAGTATTTTATTTTCAAGATATATTACAGATTGAATCCCATTTTCACCATCACTGGCAAACACCCACTCCAAATTTATTTTCTTAATTGGTACTACACGTACGATTTGTCAACATCGTGTAGTCATTTTGGTACAGTCAAAAAAAAAAAATCTGCTGCTTGCTTGTTGTGATGATGACGTTTGTTTGTCGAAAATGAGATGGTGAGACATCTCAAGGGGCTTATCCTCCTCCACACGAATACAATTGAAAACATTTCAAAACGTCAGCTCCCGTTGGGCACCGCAGTTTTCTAAAGCAGCAGATTTGTTTCTTTCACTAATTTGTTTAAAATGAATATTGCGATTTAAAATATGCATCCATGGTTGTCAAAGATTGTAACTAAATAGTAAACACAAGCACAATAGGTCTTCTTTAAGCAAAATAACAGGTCTTAACAGTAATATTTCATATCTTAGCTGACCAAATTAAATTTAAATTTCTTATTAAACAAACAAGTATTTACTAGGGATGTAACAATAACCGAAATATCGTGATATCATATCCTCGAAAAGTCTCATAATAATATAATGGGCTGTCACAATATATTGAATTACAAGTTCCTTTGCTTATATGCATGGTTTTATAGTAGCAGCTTATAAACATAGGGAACTACATACCCCATGATTAATTTCAGTGCAAACAACAGGAAAAAAATATGGTTTTTAATTGAATTCTTGGGATTGGGACGCAAATAATTCACACCAAAATCTTATCAAGGTATTTTAAAAACAGAAACGTGTCCTTTTCAAAATATCGCAACAAATATCGTACCGTGAGATTCATATCATGACAATATCATACCAAGAGATTTGGATATCGTTACGTCTCTAGTATTTACCATTTACCAAAAGATTTATACTCTGAATTCAAGGTATTTTAATGTGAGAAATTACCGTATTTTCCGGGCTATTAGGCGCGCTCTTAAGCCTCCAACCCCATCAAAAAACAACTGCGCGCCCCACAATCCAGAGCGCCCTGGATTGTGGGGCGCCCAAATCCACTCGGGTGTCCCAGCACGACTTCAGTAAACTACAAAGCTCCACCCGCAGCGCACGCAAACATGCACGGAGCAGACAGCGACCTCACAGCGAAAAACACCCACAGCCACACTCATCACTCCATGCAGACGAGGAATGAAACAGAGGACCGAACCGAAAAAACTAGTGCAATGTGCCACTTCTAGACACAACTGAACAACTGAGTCACTGCGAACACGCCGACAATCCGTTGGTCCCAGACAGCACCCTCCCTACACGCCACAACTGAACAATGCCCAGAGTCACCGTGAACGCGCCAAACAAAGTCCCACTGACCCATCCAACTGTTGGGTTTCGTTTAAAGTCCAGAGTGGTTTATTTGTGAAAAAAGTTTGAAAATAGACCAGTTAATGACAGTTCGTCTTATTATATAATCCAGAGCGCCTAATAGCCCGGAAAATACGGTATTCTTTTTGGCAGTGTGAAAAGCTTGCTCTGAATTGATATTAGGATTGTGTGACTGGATTGCTAAACCATTATATCCTCTATACATAAATGTGTAATGCATGGATTTTCCTCTGCTGTTTAAAGCTACATGTAGCTTCAGGCCTAATGTCAGCTTTACTCACTCCACGTAGTAGGTTCCGTACTGAGGGTCTTCAATTCTCTCCCAGCCGTAGGGCAGCTCTGGAGGGGAAAAAGAGAAGAGAGTTAGAATGCTATAAGACACATTTTTGACACTACAGATTTGTACAGATTAAAGATGTAGACAGACTAATAATAAAAAATGACTCACACATCCCCAGGCATATTTTTGATGGAGAAATGGCATTATAACAAAACTCACAACAGTCAGTTTTGTAATATATCACCTTTAACTCTTTCCCCCATAAAGACTACATTTGATGACCCTCCCTTGTTTCCTTAATGATGTCTTTTGACCCCTCCGCTGTATCACTAAAGACGTGATTTGTGTGATAGGTGGGGGCCACTACAACCCATACATACTAATATATGTATGAGTTGTTCCAAGCAGGTGTCCAAGGGGGAAAGAGTTAAGGATTAGGTTATATTTAGCACCAGCATTTTTCATTACTCGTTGCTACATCATTCATTAGAAAAAGAGTGATATTTCCTTTTTATCTATCCTTGACTATTGAAGCACAAAAAATACTGACGCTGTGAGATCCCTGCTGGCCTTCCTATACACAACAATCTCCTCTATCTAAAGTGGCATCCTCCCAGCATGCACCATCACACCTGGAGGGCCCTTTTATTTGTCACTATCAGTTTGGGGCTTAACACTCAGTTTAGGAGGAGGGCAGTGGACAAAGCAAGTGCTGAGTCTGTGCAGAGCATTGTGGGTAAAATAACATGCTTTCACTCCAAACATATTGAGTTTCCAATGTCGTGTGACCGAACCACGCAGCGCTGGGCAGGAAAATTGCCTTTTGAGAAATGGTGCAGTGAAGAGAGACAGTCTATGTGCTATGTGATAAAGGCCATTGGAATGCCATCTGTTCAGCAGCGCCCCCTTCAGAGAGGAGGAGGAGGAGGAGGAGGATCACGGGTATAAAACTGAATCACAGCTGGGGTAAAAGCGAAAGTGTGCATTGGAGATAGTATGAGTTAGGAGACAGACTGAAAGCTGTTGTAAATGTAGGTCCATTTAAACATTTTAGCTTTGTCCATCACTGGGATCCTGAGTCTAAACAGAACTTTTAAATGGTAGTTCCTGTGAGTATCTTTTTAATAAACTCTGATACTGACTATTAGTATTAGTTGTGAATGCAGATGTTTGCAATTTTTTGTATGAGAAGATGCACTTTTCTGGCAAAGGGTACCATCTGCTTGTTTCCATGGAGATGTTACTGCTTTGCCTGGAATGTTCCACGGTATTCCTCAAATATCCCTATAAACAAAACATTCATTTGTACAGTAAGTGGGGTCGCCTCTCCACAGATCTGACCTGGAACTTGGCCTGGTAACGTCACCTGCTGGGCTCCACTGCGATAGTTATGTTTAATCCCACAGTGTGAAACATTCAAGGCTAAGCAATAAAATTAAAGCCACTTGAGGCGATGATGGCGTTTAACCGGGTGCACACGCCTCTGTCATGAGACCACCCCGGCATGTTATTGCCCCTTCCCACAGATCCTCCATCAGAAAAATTGCACTGTGCACCTTTGAATGTTTTTTTAGTAAACATTAAACTTTGCACCCCTGCTGGCCAATGTGAAAAATTCCCCATGTCTCTAATCTATTTTCTTTGCTTCTTAGTCATTTGTCATATGCTTTAGAGCAGATTATATTCAGGCCGAGATCACGCATTAGTGATTCAACTTTCAGCACAACCAGACAAAGCATGTGTGTGTAAGATTTTTAAAAATATATTTCTTTGGGGAGTCTTTGCACTCTGCTATGCCAATGGCGAAAAATGCCCTATGTCCATTTTTTTTTTTTTTTGTAGTCATGCATAGAATTTAATCCCCAAATTTGCTACAAATCATTCATTTGCCTTTGCCAAACTTTGTTTGCCCCCACTCTCATAGGGGTACACTTCTACAGGCAGGTCACTTCGGGCACTGTTATAATGCCCTTTTGATCAAAGTCCCATACCCGGTTTGGGGAACTTTTCGTTCATGTCCTGGGAGTGAAAAATGCTATACCCTACAGAGAGAGAGAGAGAGAAAAAGAAGAAACCGGCTGATATATGACAGTAGTTTTTGTCCTTACCTCCTTCGTCGCACTTCTCGGGGGGCTTGGCTTTCCGTGCGAGCCGAGGGTCCAGCCATGTGGTGGTCTTACTGTTGTGACTGAAACACACACACAGAAGAGGAATGGCTTTAGGCTCTGCACCATTTTAAAAGCAAACCATTTACCAGTGAGTGATTCAGCAATTATCAAGGGGACTTATTACTCAGAAGCAGTTTCACCAGCTGCACTGCAAAACTGACCTGAATACACAGTTTGGACTAAAGTGGTGAATGGGGTGTGCTCAAGTGTTGAACCAGCAAACATTTGGATAAAAGGCAAACACTGAGCTTATGACTTTACTGCCACTCCTAATGGATCAATGTAGAGTCATTTAAAACTTGTGAAGGTAAGACTCACAATGGTAAACAAGTTAATGCATTTGTTTATGATGATTAATGTATGGCTTTATCATGACGTCAAACATTAATGCCATAAGTGTTATACTTTAAACTATAGTTGTATCTGACACGTGTGGATTATCATTTTATATTTTATTCACGGTAGGGAGTGGCTGATTTATTTATTCTTGTTCCAAATGACTAAGCAATGCTATAATTTTCCCTCTGCATTTGACCCATCCTTCAATGTGTCTGGGGCGCTTCATCAGGAGCAGACTGGACTCAGCTCTGTGATCTTGTTGCTAGTCTGGGTCAGGATTACCTGCCAGCCACCAAGCTGATCTGGAAGAATGATTACTCAAAAATACAGGAAGAACTTTGTTAAAGGTGCATTGTGTTTTGGTAGCCTGATTCATCAGCCAGTTTCCCTTCGTAGAAACCGTCTGACCTCGCAGCATTAGAATTACAGTAGGCAGGTACTTTTTTTATATAACCAATCGCTGCTATTTGGTCGTGACGTATGTAATGCGCCGCTAACAGGGCTAACTGGTATATTAAGCTTTTCCCAAATCCCATAGGAAGAAGGGCAATAACGTCTTTCCCCTTGATAAATTCACTAAACATTCTCTTTGTTCCGGCTTTAAATCCTCGATCTCGGGAATCGTTGCCAACATAGAATGTATGGCTCTTTGCTGATTGGCTGGTGCCCGAACTCGCACTTCTGGGGTTTTTGAGAACCATCTAGTGTATTCTGATTCCTGACCTAGTCTCTGGAGAAAAATTTAATTGAGCGGAGGCACTAGGTGGCGTCAGCCTGGCTAGTGTTTTGGTGGAGGGTCCATCAAATGTTTTTCTCTATGGAGATATTATTGCTTTGTCTGGAATGTTTCACAGTATGGCATTAAACTTTTCTATCTTCATGAAGATCAAACCAGACCAAGTCACAGGTCAGATCTGTGGAGACGACCCCACTCACAGACCCCACAGAGAGCTTGTTTTTCTAGGTATTTTCGAGCTATAAAACCACATGTAACTGAATAAATGTAAGGCAGAGCTGTTTAATGTCATACTGTGGAACATTCTAGGCAGAGCAATGACATACTGTGCACCTTTAGTAATGATGCAGAACCATTATAATATGGTTAAACTCTCAAAAGCTGTTTAGGAATGTCTCCTTTGAACTTAAATATATTCTAGATACTATTTTGACAGCGTGCAAAAACATGCCGACGGTCATTTCTTACTTCTCTTGGGATCGCACAGTTTTCAAATCTTAACAATGCTCACAGCGGCCTTTTAGGAGCGACTAGGAACCAAGTGGAGAGAATAGGACACAAACGAGGAATAAATAGCAGGAAAAATAGAGTAGAAATGAGCCAAACCCTGAGCGCGCACAGAGGTCAGGGTGGTAAGCTCCATTTAGCCTGCTGTTTTTCACCGCCTGGCAGAATGAGCTATTGATTTAGCAGCACCGCGACGCTTGCGCTACACTAACGGAGTACACAATATGAGCCCACCAGACTGCAACATCAAACACAGGGGAAATTAAAAGAAAAAATGTAATCACGGACAACCCAGAGAGCCATAGACTAAAGCCCTGAGGCAGAAAACAAGTCCACAAGTGCAACAGCAAATGTCCTGAAGTGTTTGAACTTAAAGGTGGCTGCAGTTCAAATATAGGTCTGAGGGGTTATAGTGTTTGGATATCATAGCTAACAACTTTGTAGGGATGTATTTGTGATGGATCGATAGAAGGAAGCAAGGTTTTCTCTATGGCTGGACTGGAAAATATCACAGGAAAAAGGCTGTGGGTCCAATTCCCTATATAGTCTTTCTGTAGAGTTTCATGTTCTCCCTGTCTCTGGATGCATTGATTTCCCCTTCAGCCTTAAATGTCACTTTACCCACCATGCCTATTGTGCGGGTTATTGTTCTTGATGAATGCCCTATATTGTGAAGCAGAATTATTAATGGACACTCAGATCTACGTCTCTGGCAGCAGGGGACTAGGGACCAGTGGACTCACTCTGCCACTGCATCCAACAGATCTGTGTGTGGATGCAAAACAACTTTCTCCAGCTAAACTCAGACAAGACAGAAGTCATAGTCTTTGGCACACATAAACAAAGAGACAGTTTCAGCAGTCACCTCCAGTCTTTCTCTATAAAACCTTCAAATCAGACAAGAAATCTAGGGCTAATATGGACTCAGACTTGAACTTTAACAGTCACATCAAATCAGTAACATTGGCCTTTTACCATCTAAAAAACAGAGCACAAATCAAAGGTATACTGTTTAAAGCAGACTTGGAGAGACTTATCCATGTGTTTGTCTCCAGTAGGTTAGACTTACATCCAGAACACTGCAGCTTGAGTCCTGACTCGAACTAAGAAGTACAAACACATGCGTCCTGTGCTCAGGACTCTGCACTGCCCCCTGTGGCTCAGAGACTTTAAAGGAAGAGCTTGGAATTTTGGACATAGGGCCTCATTTCCTAGTGAGCCAGAGTGTTGGAGACGTGTGGAGACACTTTTTTCAATATTCCATCCAGTCCTTGTATTTGCAGAGGTCGCTGGTGTTCTGTAGTTAGCCTGCTACTAAAAACAGTCTTACCCACTCCACAAAGCACCTGAAGCAAATCTATTATTACTCCAGACTGTTGATGTAAATGTCTGTGTTGATAGAATAATGTTTGAAATAAAACTAACCTTGCATTGCATGAACTGTTGCATGTTGAGGGACTATTTTCTCATATATCAGTTCACCACTACCAAGCTTTCTATCAGGAAGTACAAGACAAGACATAAATCCTTCAAATACACTAGGAAATGAGGTCCTATGTCCAAAATTCCGAACTGTCCCTTTAAAGCGGCTCTGCTTGTGTACAAATCTCTCCATGGCTGAGCACCAAAGCACATTTGTGACATGTTACTGCCATATGAACCATCTCGCGCTCTAAGGAGCTCAAGGACCGGCCTCCTGCTGGTGCTCAGAGTCAGAAGTAAACATGGGGCGTCAGCGTTTCAGATTCATGCAGCTAAAACCTGGAACAGTCTTCCTGAAGATGTGAGACAGGCCTCTACTTTGTCACTGTTTAAATCCAGGCTCAAAACGGTTTGGTTTAACTGTGCATATGACTGAAAGGTTTTCATTTTTCATTCCGCACTCTTCTCTCTAATTTAATGTCTCTCTCTTTTTATAATTTTATGATGATTATTTATGTTTTGATTTGTTTGAATTTTAATATATTTCTTCTTCTGTAAAGCACTTTGAATTACAGACCCAAAATGTAACTTTTAGTCATGTTGGAATGTTGTTACATCACCAAAAACATACCTGGATTTGTGTTTTGTTTCATTCACACATGACTGAGAGATTCTTTAATATTAGACTGTCGCCAATGCTCAAAATGCTCTGTTCCACCTTGTGATGTCATGAAGAGGTGGCGTTCAAGATAACAGCTCCTTTTACCTTTTGTTCACTCAAGAGTGGCAATTCCATGGCTGAAATTGTACAAATTATTCTAGTGAAGGTGCATAGAGTTTAAAAACACAGTGGAGCACTTCCTGTATTACCACATGACATCACAAGGTGAAACAGGGTTTTCTGTTTGAGAGAAGAACTCAGTCTAAATATGCAGTTTGTGTGTTAATGAAACAAAACACAACTGCAGATTTGTTTATGATGAGGAAACAATATTATAACATACTGTAGATGAGAAAATTTAAGAGAAAAATGATAAAGATTCAACTGAAAAACATGACTGGGAATTTTGCTGCGAGAAGTGACATCAGTTTTCATCTAATCAGGCACATTGTTCACTAAGAATCATGGGAAAACAACAGCCTGGTGCTATTTCAGACAGTGGATTCCCTGTCACTGCGCATTATAAAAAGAGAAAGTGGAGAAAAACACAACTACATCAGACTATTCTAGATTTTTATTTATGTGTTGTGTAGTGCAATATCCAACTGGTCTGAGCACACGAGACATTTTGAACTAAAACATGCTCCTGACTCATTTCAAAATCAGGTACAGGGCTTTTTATCTAATTATCTAGAGTTTGCGATGTTTTCCCTTAATTAATCTGAAATGACCTCCCTTGGGTTTTGGTTAAGTGGTTGGAATTGAACTGGACAAAATGAGAATTTAGCTCACTGAAATAATTTCTTTTAGAAGCCCAGACTCAACTCTACAGCAGTGTGCCTTATGTTTATAAATGGTGTTTTAAAGCGGTGTTATACTTTTTTATACCGTCTTTCAAAACCAGTCTTGGTCACCGCTACAAGGATCGAATAGTGGCCTTAGTTAACATTTTCAAATACAGTTTTTTTCACTTCCTTAAATGCCATCTTTATTGAAATTTCACTGTGCAAATGTAATATAACAAGATGAAGTGCTTCCTTGTTGGTCAGTGCTTCCTGGAGTAAAAACAGATACTAAATAAAGTGTTTTCAACTCCGAGAAAGACACTAATAGAGATTTAAAAATTACACAATCATGTATTTTTAGATGAAGGAACAACTTAACATTACAGAAAGTTCCAAAAAGCCTTAGCAATCCCTTTTAAGTGACCACATCACTACTTTACAAAAATAAAACAACTTCAAACTCCACCATTACTTTTCCAAACACACTTGAATCTTGTACTCACTCTATGAAGTACACCATCCCTGTCTCGGTGTAGGCCATCTCCCAGTTCTTGGGCAGCGGTTCCTGGTTCTCGTCCTGATGGTTCCACCCTCTGAGCTCCATGGCGGCCGCAGACTGAGTGTAGCTGGGCACCGTCCTCCTCCACTCCGCCTTCTCTGGGTGCTCTGTGTGGCCGTAGTGCGCGGCGGACGGGGGCACGCGGACGCGGGGACGGTGGCGTAGTAAGGGAAAGGGATGTGGTAGAAAGAGAAAGACATAGGAGGCGGTGAGATTGTGTAGCCATTATTGTTATTATTAAATATCCTATGGGCTCCTTGCATGTCTATCTTTTTGTTGATTCTGCTGCTGCTGCTACGACAACTGGGACAACAGGCAAATTCAAGAGAGGAGAGGTGGGAGGAGAGAGAGCAGAGACAAGCAAAGCAGCCAGGCCATAGGATTTGCATGTCAGTAGAGATGAACCAGGAACAGCCTCGAGGGCAAAAGTGAGCTGACCAAACCAAGCAACATCACTGCTCTCTTAGTACAACTGTTGTGTGTTGTGTATGTGTGTTCATGCGTGTTTGTGTATTTGCCTAAGAGTTGTCCACAGGGTTTGACCAGGAAATGTGTAACCTAAATTTTTTTGGGATCGCTGAAACGTGCATGTATTGTGTGTGCGTGTGTGCGTGTGTGTCGTGTGCATGTTGTGTGTTGTGTGTTGTGTAGGTGTGTGTGTATGTGCGTGTGTGTGTTTGTGTGTGTCTAGAGTCTTCTACAGGTGTTGACCATGAAAGGTGTAACCTCCATTTTTTTGGTAGGGCTGCAATGTGAATGTATTTTGTGTGCATGTATGTGTGCGTATTTTGTGTGTGTGTTGTGTATCTGTGTGTGCGCGTGTCTTTGTGTGTGTCTAGAGTCATCTACAGGTTTTGACCACAACATGTGTAACCTTTTTTTTTTTTTGGTGCAATGTGCAATGTGTTGTGTGTGCATGTATGTGTGTGTGCTGTGTATGGGTATGCATGTGTTTATATGTGTGTTAGTTGCGTATGTATGTGTGTGTTTGTGTGTGTCTAGAGTCATCTACAGGTTTTGACCAGGAAATGTGTAACCTACATTTTTTGGTAGGGCTGCAATGTGCATGTATTGTGTGTGCATGTATGTATAGTGTATGTGTGTGCATGTACATCTGTGTGTATGTGTGTATGTGTATGTATGTTCATAAGTGCTTGTGTATTTGTCTAAGAGTTGTCTACAGGTTTTGACCAGGAAATGTGTAACCTACATTTTTTTGGTAGCAATGAAACATGCATGTATTGTGGGCATGTGTGTTGTGTGTGTTGTGTATACGTGTGTGTTGTGTATCTGTGTGTGCGCATGTGTGTGTGTGTAGATGTAACTACTGTGTGTGCGTGGTAGGTAACTACATGTGTTGTGTATTTGTGTGCTGTTTTTGTGTGGAAATGTGTATACATGTTTAGTGTGTGTGTTGTGTGTGTGTATGTTGTGTGTGTGTATTGTGTGTTGTGTGTGTGTTCATGCGTGTTTGTGTATTTGCCTAAGAGTTGTCCAAAGGTTTTGACCAGGAAATGTGTAACCTACATTTTTTTGGTAGCGCTGAAACAAGTATGTGTGTGTGTGTGTGTGTGTGTGTGTGTGTGTGTGTCTGTGTGTGTGTGTTTGTCTAGAGTCATGCACTGGTTTTGACCAGGAATTGTGTAACCTATATTTTTTGGTAGGGCTAAAATGTGCATGAATTGTGTATGTATGTGTCATGTATGTGTGTGTGCATGCATGTTTGTTTGGTTGAGTCGAAAGTGGAAGATTAATAAAAAATTTCTTACATTTGCAATTTGAAAGATTGTAAGCATTGAAAAGGTGTAACTTTTAATTTTAGGTGCCATCTGCTTGTCTCAGTTGGGATGTTATTCCTTTGCACAGAATGTTCCAGAGTAAAGCATTAAACTTATCTTTTTGCATGTATTAATTTCCCATGTTTTTATTGCTCAAAAGTAACTTGAAAAACAGGCATTTTACAGTGAGCGAAGTCTCTTCTCCACAGATGTGGCTCCCGAAATTGTTTAAAACATTCACTTTAAACAGAGTTTCATCATTAAAACATAAATCACAAATCCAATCACAATGCTTATCAGAAAAATTGCAACTAAATGCTCTGAAGTATGCAGATTTTAAATAGAAAAAACAATATTTAACTAGAGAATGTCACAATTGTTCAAATTGGAGGTCGATGTTCCTGATGCAATGACACAAAGCTGTAACTAGCTCCACCACAGACACTCATGTATTTCGCTTCAGGCCATAGCAGCCTTTCAAGTCCTCCCATTGTAATATACAGAGAAATCAGCTCCTGTTTGTGAACTCATGCTGCCCTATATACAAGAGTTTGATTTTCTTCTTGAACTGTGAATCACACCAACACGGGGAGTTTGAACACTGAAAATGTCGTATAATGTGTCACAAATGTAATTTATTTATTATTATTTTGGGTAACTTTTCTGGTGGAGGATTTTTGTTGTTTAGGGAGATGTCATTACTTTGCTTGGTATGTTTCACAGTATGTTCATTACAGGTGATTTTATTATTCAGAAATACCTTCAAGACATTCCATTCCTGTGTGAGTGAGCTTCCATGGATAGACAAGTTCAATGCCGTACTGTGAAACATTCCAGGCTGAACAGTTAAAAACATAGAGATGTGGTGTACCATCTCCAACAAAAGCTATAAGCACCTTTAAGGCTCTAGTCGATTAAATACATTCTTGGTGGACTAAAGGCGTATCCTTCAGATTGATTTGAAGAAAAGCTCTGAAAACGTTTCTATATTTCTAGGAATCTGACGCAAACTGCATTCATAAAATTACACCTGCACTGGAGTTCAAGCAAGAACAACTATTTATAAAGAAACAGGAAACAATTTTGTGAATACACGTGTGAATCATCAGTAAATCTGCCTTTTACACATAAATACCAAAAATATGAAATCTTCAACTGATGCGAGCTAATTCACAGTAAAAATACACATTTTCAAGGTTTAGTTTGTGTCACAAATGTAGCTTATTTATTATTAGTCATAGTTAAAGGTGCGTTGTGTAACTTTTCTGGTGGAGGTTCTGTCAAATGCTTTTGTCAATGGAGATGTTATTGCTTTGTCTGGAATGTTTCATAGTATGGCATTAAATCTTTCTATCATCATGGAGACCAAACCAGACCACGTTACAGGTCAGATCTGTGGGGAGGCGACTCTGCTCACAGTCAGAATGCAGAATGTTTTTTATAGGTATTTTTGAGTAAATGTAAGAGCTGTTTAATGTCCTACAGTGGAACATTCCAGGCAGAGCAATGACATATCCATAGAAACAAGCAAGTGACAGACCCTCCACCAGAAAAGTTACATAATGCACCTTTAAATGCGTAATAAAAACTCTAAAATATGAACTCACTCAAATTACATTTCAGAACATAGAGTTAAGACAGGATATTTTGTTGGTGGAGAAAATCATCCACCCCAAATTTAAGACTTTTTAAAGACCTTTTTAAGACCACTAAAATAAAAATTAAGACCAACATCGCACCCATTGTGCAGACAAAAACACCAGATCCAATTCTAATAATGACCAAACAACTACTATATCTAGAATCGAAGAGCCACTGTGGATTAAACCTACACTTCCCCATGATCCATCCAGCATCTTCCTCCACTCTACTGATTGCTTTCTCATTGACGCTGTATTGTTTGTGCATACTCCAAATTAGACGTTCATTCACGTTACATGATTTCATGTGGTTGTTGTTTTTTTTTCTCCCTCCATTTAACATCGCACTGCAGCCCAGTTGAGTACACAAAAAAGTAGGCTAATGAAATTTGGACAACATAATTTAAGACTTTTTAAGGCCTTGATTAAGGAACATGAAATTTAAGACCTTTTTAAGACTTTTAAGACCCAGCGGCTACCCTGTGATACTTAAAAAAATTGCAGGATTTGCGATTTGCTAATTGTGTTATTTCAAATTGCGATTTTGTTTCACTTATGATTAATCTTGCAACCCTAAATGCCGTACTGTGGGACATTCCAACAGTACTTCCATGGAGACAAGAAGGTGACGGACCCTCTGAGAGAGAAGTTGTACAGTGCAGACTTGTCAACATCTCCAACAGACTTTGTATTATACTCTTCGACTCCACTGATCCTGATGGTCAGCGCAGCCCAAGGCCAAAGCCATCATGTGTCTGTGATCTGCAGTCTGCTCCCATCTTTTATTCATTTATTTTCTGTCATGCTACAAACTGCACCATCTCCTCTCTAATATGATCTTATTTGACTACGATCAGATAAGGAACAAATGACATTTTTCTAATATAGTTTTTCATGAACACATTATAAGGATTTGCAGTCTACTGGCCCTGCTTTGAGAAATTGTTTAGCGATAGTCAGGTTGTTATAAAAAAAATATTAAAATAGAGATGAGCAAATACAATTCAACAGTCTAATTATATCTTTTTTTAAAAAGGTGTACTATGTAACTTTTCTGGTGGAGGGTCCATCACCTGCTTGTCTTCATGGAGATGTTATTGCTTTGTCTAGAATGTTCCACGGTAGATATTAAACTAGGGTGACCAAACGTCCGTTTTTTTCCTGGTCATGTCTGTATTTTGGGTCATGTCCGGGGCGTCCGGGTTTTTTTTATAAAGTGATGCAAATGTCCAGGTTTTCAGTACCGCTCATTAAACTGAGCGTCTCTCGTAGCGTCTGTGACTCAGAAGGAGCGAGACACAAACAGTCGGTCAGTCTGCAACACACCGAAGCACAAAAGCGCATTTAACAATGACTTGTACAAGAAATTCTCCGTTTTCCGTCCCAATCGGGACAAGTGTGAGTCTATGTGCACAGGTTGCGAGGTGAGAGTACAGTGGTCCCTCGTTTATCGCGGGGTTACATTCTAAAAATAACCCGCGATAGGTGAAATCCACGAAGTATCAACTTTATATTTTACAGTTATTCTGTTTTAAGTCTGTAAAACCCCTCAGCACAAACTATATACACTTTTCTCACACAGGACAGGTGCAACACTTTTTACTTCCTTCTTAAAACTTATTGCTGCTGTGATCCTTTTGTTATTTTCCTCCTTCTTTATGTAACAAACTGAAGATTCATTTATTCCGTAATGTAGCCCAACAGCGCAGAGTCCTGCACGGGTCAGTTTTTGTAGACCCCCAGTACAACACCGCAACCACGTAGTACAGGACCGCACCTGCCCGTTAACCTGAGAGTATATCAAACTTTTGCGCTGCCTACGCCACAGACTGAACCAAGACTGAACCAGGACTAACCCAGGACTGATTCCAGGAGTGAAAAGGAGGACTAATCCATGACTGAACTAGGACTAAACCAGGACTAAACCAGAACTGAAACAGGACTCACTGTCGGGACGGGCTTGGAGATGACCACAGGAGAAAGAACCGGCTCAGCTCAGCACCTCACGGAGGTAAACGCGGCAATTGCCCGATCTCGCTTTGTGGACAAACTGCTCGGCGTTCTCTCTCTTAAATCCAAGATTAGTCCTGGTCCCCATCATTGTTCAATTTTGTATTTAAATTAATAATGGAAAAAACGGATAAGGGCTGTTTCCCATTTCTGTGACTTAAACTGCGATGACGGACTGAACCAGGACTGAACCAGGTCTAAAACAGGTCTAAAACAGGTCTAAAACAGGTCTAAAACAGGTCTAAACCGGTCTCAGTCCTGGTCTGGTCCTGGTCTCAGTCCTAAACCAGGACTAAACCAGGACTGTGACCAGGACTGAGACCTGGTTTAGTCCTGGTTCAATTCTGATTAAGAGCTGGGTTAGACTTGGTTTAGTCCTGGTTCAGTCCGGCATCACAGTTTAAGTTTTTTCGTTTTCTTATTTTTGGTTTTATATTGAAAAATGAATGAATGAATGATACATGGATTAACTATCTCCATGGAGACAAGTTACAGGTCAGATCTATGGAGAGAAGATCCCGCTCACAGCCAGAATGTATATTTTTGTACAATTTAAACACCAAAATGATAAATAGACAAGGTTAATGCCATACTGGGAACATTCCAAGCAAAGCAAAAACATCCATGAAGGCAAGCAGATAGCAGAACCACCATTAAAAAAGTTCCATAGTGTGCCTTTGTGTATTTTTTTTTCTTTTTTGCATTTTTGAGCAATAAAAACAACTGGAATTGATCAACTAAAGATAAATGTTTAATATCATACAGTGGAACATTACAGGGAAGGCAAAAACACCCAAGAAGGCAAGCAGATAGCAGACCCACCATCAGAAAAACTGCATATTGCAACTTTAAATCTCATCTGTAAACGAGGAGCATTGTGATGTTATATGAGGACATAGGGCTGAACAAAGTCACTCTCTTGAGGGGTTGTTGATTGCACACAGACTGAAGTTACTACTTGATTTGGGCCTGCACAGAAAAAGCTAATCTTGAGTGTTTGAGAAATACGACGCTACTTGAACGTAATCAACAAAATGCCATAGAGAGGCAAATAGCTGTGCAGACCAAATTCTGATGCTGCAATCTTCAAATGTTTTCATAGACTAGACTAGACTAGACTAAATGTGTTTTTACTAAAGTATGGTGAAGAAGTAGAGGGAGCGACAGAGATTGTGATATTTTGTATAGAGTAGATGGAAATAATAATAATAATTTCCTCTTGCAGATAAGAAGGGCCTAAGGACAGGAGGCACTCTGGGACAGTTATTGTTATATATTAATTTGTTTGTTTTCTATGAATATTTGGTTAGTCTGTCTGTTATTGACCAATTCACTGTTTGATTTTCTAACTTTCTCTTGGTTAAATCTACAATTTTGCTAAGCCCTCTGAGATGACTGCTGTTGTGGTTTTGGGCTATAGTAAATTGAACTGAACTGTGTTGAAAAATAAGGAGATTATTTTAAGACTTTTACAGAAACTAACCAAAAAAGATGAAAACTGAACTGAACTGCACAATTTCACAAAACGGTAAAAAGTTGAATTCTCTGAAAACTTTTTTTTTAAAAAATCTCATATTATCTTAATTAACCTCAACAAAGACATCTATCTCACCTAATTTACAGTGATATCCACTGTTGGGCAAGTTACTTCAAAACTGTAATGTGTTATTTATTACTTGTTACTGCAATTTCAAAGTAATTTGTTACATTACAATATTACTGCATTTAAAATGCAAGGCATTACACGACTATTGCAGCACTTTAAGTTACTCTCACCAAAATAATTGTGTCAAGATGCCAAACTTTTGCACCATATATGGACTGAAGCAGGAGGACTGAACCAGGACTAAACAAGGACTAAACAAGGACTAAACGAGGACTCAACCAGGACTCAATCAGAACCAAACCAGGACCAAACCAGGACCAAACCAGGTCTAATCTTGTACTAGGACTTGGAATCTAGGACCCCCCCCGAGAGAACCACGAGCCATGATTAGCCCTGTGGAGAGTGGAGTTCTGCATCAGTCCTTTCGCCCATGATCACCCAACGGTCTACGCAGGCGCACCTCTGGACCCGTCCCAACATTCGGAACCATAACGATGGCGTTTCACTGCTGCTGATATCACAGTGATTTTAGCAAATTTGTATGAAGAAAAATTAAAAAACCCACCACTTCAGTCCAGGTTAAAAAAGCATTGTAACACGAGTTACTGACATTTGTACCAAGTAAAATATTAATTTTTTTTTCTGTAATGGTTTGCATTACTGCGTTACAGCAAAAAGCAATACATTACAGTAATTTGTTACTTTTATAACATGTTACTCCCAACACTGGTGACATCACGCCGGGGGTGTACTGCATATTTGTCTATGATGGAGTTTTTAGATGAGCCTGTGATGATTACAAGTGTTAATGGTCCTGTTTAGGTGATTTTCGACAAAAAGCTGAGAGTAACTAACTGAAAAACTAATGACCAATGTTTCCTAAAGGTCGTCACACACTACAGGATTTTTCGGTCTTAAATGAATTTTAAACATGCTACAAAAAGCGCACAACACAGACATGAGGAGAATCTTTTAAAGAACACTTCAGACTGGATTCACAGCACTGTTTTGTGGACTGGGTGTCATTATTTACAGAGGACAAATTCTATGCATAATACGGATGAGATGCTGCAGTTTATATTTACAACTTTACGAGAGGTGAGTAATAATTATATTCGCTGTTTCCTGAGTTTGTATGTTGCACCTCTGTGTTTGTCACTCCATTTGCACCTGACGCTTTGTTTTATTGGATGTAATCGTAGCATTGCTGATGTTTGGTGGTTACAATATATGACAGTGCAGCTCAGAGTCACACTGTAGCGGCTTCAAAATCACAGCCAAAATTGGGCAAATTCTCCTGTAGTGTGGGCGGCTTTAACTCGTGACTGTAATTTTATATGTGAAAGACTTGTTTAACAGTACAAAATAAGTACTCCTGTAAGTCCTCTGTAAACTCGTGACTGTAATTTTATATGTGAAAGACTTGTTTAACAGTACAAAATAAGATCTCCTGTTGTAGTTCCTGCTAAGTCAGTTCTTTCTGGTCAGATTGTGTTCAAACAAAGCTCAGATTAAAGTTTAACTTAAGTAACAGAGCCTCAAACGGACCAGTGTCTACCATTATCGTCACATCCCGAGGGAATATTAATGACATCCGCTGCAAAGGATCAGTAGCTAAAGTGGGTTAAGTAAAGTAGTCTCACCAGTGAGTCCATTGACCAGTGGGGGGTCCTCTTCCTCCTCCTCTGGCGCGGCGCTGTCTTTTCGGTCCATCTTGCTGACAGAGGTGGTGCGTTTCCTCTGCACCTCAGTGTCAAACTCCTCATCGAAGAGCACCTGATCCACCAGGTCAGGCTGCACCGGGCTGGGCTCTGCGGGGGGCTTAGGGGTGCCATAGTAGTTACCTACACACAACAGAGAGTAATACAAAGAAATATTATTATTGGCATGTTTGTATATTCATATTGATTTGATTGGGCTTGAACTCGATTTTTCCCATGTATTTGAGAAAAACTTGTCTAGAGTATAAAATAAGTCTACTGTAAACTGTCTGCTTCTAATTATAAAGTCTTTTTTTTCCATGTCAGAGAATCAGGAAGTATGTGGTTAGCATGTAAGTTGTTGTTAGCATGTATGTATGTAGGTATGTATGTATGTAGGTAGCAAGTAAGTAAGTTTTTATTTATATAGCGGAAGCAGTCTGACGGAAGCGTGGCTGCCAATGCCCCCTCTGACCACCACCGACACTCACGCACACTCCACTTTCATACTAGGCAATGTAGGTGAAATGTCTTGCCTAAGGACACAACAATGACATTTTTGGCGACTACTGTCGCCACTGTGGCACCTGATTTTCCCAGCGGTACAAAGTACTAACCAGGCCCAGCCCTGCTTAGCTCCTGAAATCTGACAGGATCAGGCTTTGACAAGTCGGTATGGCTTAAAATAAGTCAATTTTATCTTATTTAAAAATATTTTGTCTCCATCTAATTCTAAAGCATTTTTTGGTCCAAGAATCAGAAAGTGCATAGTTAGCATGCCAATTGTTGTTAGCATTACTGCCATGGCCAATCTCCACTCTAGTATCAGGTACAGGGGCTTTAAAAGTGCAATATGTAACTTTTCTGGTGGAGTATTTGGACAAGCATGTGATAACAGTAGGCTAATTTACATGCAAGGATAGTGTAGAAGTGTAGAAACAACTCCACTTACAAGAATGCATGTATTTTTAAGTAATAAAAGTCCTGTAATTAAAAAAAAATGCAAGATGGATAAGTGTAATGTCTTATTGTGGTATATTTTAAACAAAGCAATGGGATCTCCATAGAATAAGACTCCAAATCAACTATAGAAAAGTTACATACTGCACCTTTAATAAACCTCGATATTTCACAGTTGCATTGGCTTTGTGGACGTATCCTTTTGGAAAACATTGTGGAATTAAGTGGGGTTAGCTTAAACCAAGAAGACAAAAGAAAATAGGGATGTTCAAGATGCATTGTGTAACCTTTCAGGTGAAGGGTCTGTCAAAAACTTTAGCTTTGTCTGAAATTTCTCACAGTATGGCATTAAACCAAACCAGACCAAGTTACAGGTCAGATCTGTGAAGAGGTGGCCCCGCTCACAGTCAGAATGCCTTTCTAAATAGTTTTGAGCAATAAAACCACCTGGAATTTAATAAATGTATGATAGAGCAGTTTAATATCATACTGTGGAACATTCCAGGCAGAGCAATGGCATATCCGTAGAAAAAAGAAAATGATGGACCTCAAACCAAAAGTTACGCAGTGCACCTTTAAAGCAAAGCACAACACAACTGGGTATGCACACCAGAGCTTGAGAGCAACTGGATATAACAGTGAAGTTTAAATCTTTCAAAGTACAAAAAAGCTTGTACCTAGGCTTAAAATAAGTCTTTAAAACTAAACAAAACTAAACAAAACAAAAAACATTGTAACATTATTTTGGTCTTTTGGTAATTTTTTTTTTTTTTTTTACTTTGAAACTGAAAAATATACCTTATTATCCACCTAAATTCTCTAGGAATAAAAAAACTTTCTTTTCAGCTAAGTTAATTAAGCCATTATGTGAAGCCAGACAATGTATTAACTTTACAAATTATCTCACCTGCCAGGGAGTCACATTCTTCATTATTAATGCATGGCCACTGTCTAGAACATTATGCAAAAAGATAGCGAGGAAAATATTCATTCAAAAAACTCCAACTCCAATACAGTTCAAGCCAGTGCATTCAGAAGCTCTGCAAACTTTTAGTCAAGGCTGTAGTTATAATGTAAAATGGTACATTATTTACCTTTTTATTCATTATCAGAGATTTAAGTTCAATGTTACATACTGTGTTTACATAAAGCACTTTCAGACGAGCCCAATACTTAATGATGTGGTGATGAGAAAGTGATGGGAAAAAATTAGCTGAATATTATGGAGAAGCTGAAAAGAGAGCTGTTGTCCTTGACTTCGCATCTACAGATGAATTATTATTGGAGAAAAGTAGTGACAATGAATGCAAGAAGCTATAGCAGTTTAAGTAGCAGTATGTAGTATATAGGGATGTGTAAATAACCAAAAGTGTATGCTGCTCATAGCAATTAAAGGTGCATCATGTAACTTTTTGGTGGAGGGTCATCTGCTTGTTTCAATGGAGATGTCACTGCGCTGCTTCAAATGTTCCACAGTATGACAGATCTAAACAGATATAAATAGCTCTAGTTTACACTTAGGCCCCATCCACACTAGTACATATTCAAATCATTTTCATTGTGGATGCAGTGTTCATCCACAGTAATCTGACAGAAAACAGCTCCAGAGATGGAACGATCTGGTGCCACCAGCTCCCACAAATTTATCTGAGTATGGATCTGATCCGGCACTGTGTGGACGCCTGAAAACATTGATACACTGACATAGGAGCTCTAGTTGCCGTCCTTATTGGACCACGTCACTGTGACTTGTGCCTTCCTGATTCACTGGGTTGATGACATCGGTCATGTGACACTATTGCGGAAAACAGTTTAAACAAACCACAGACAAATGGACTCACCATTAGCAGAACACCCCTTTGTCACAGAAAGAACACATATATTCCATATTTATTATATGTACAGTCCCTGACAAAAGTGTTGTCGCTTATCCATTTTGTAGAAACAAAAGCTTCTAACCTGACTTTAAATTAATCGATTGGTTTTAGAAATGTCTCATATGAAAGCTAAAACCCTCCCAAATTATGCTCAATATACTAAAATAAATTTGCTTCACTGAAGAAAGAATGATCATTTAATGAACACAGAAAGGTCAGATTTTGGCAAGACAAAAGTTTTGTCGCCTACAGAAAATTGAACAAATAATTTACTTCAGATACAAAAATATGTTGCATAACGTCAGTGAATGAAGTAGTGGTGCTGTGAGATCCATATTTAATATCTTGTATGACTTCCATGAGCTTGAAGGACGCATCCATGCGGTTCGACAATGATTCATACGAAGTTGTTGATGAAAACAAAGTCATTGTCAGAGGCTCTAATAACAATATAAGGAAAGATAAGCAAACCAAAACGGAACTAAATGAAACAGAAAAACAAAAAAACAGTCTAAGTCACCAGTGCTCAAGCAAGTCCACAAACAGAACAGCTGCCCAGAGTGGCAGGGGCGGGTCCTTTATAGGGCCGGAGCTCCAGGTGTAGGCCTGGGATTGGCCAGGTGTTCCAGGTTTCCACCATTCAGCGGAGGGGCTCCAGATCCATCTTAAATCGATTCCTCCAATCACAGCATCACAGCGGGGGTTTATATGGAGGCTTGCAAACACACACACACACACACACACGGATCTAGGCAAATATGGCCAGGAGGATCTGGAGGCCTTCCGTAACATCATACAATTTGTTGATGAAGTCATCAGGAATAGCAAAGAAAGCGTCTTACATGCCTCCCAGAGTTCATCAAGATGCTTTGGTTTTGCCTTCCATGCTTCCTCTTTCATTCTACCCCAGACATGCTCAATGATGTTCATGTCTGGTGACTGGGCTGGCCAGTCCTGGAGCACCTTGATCTTCTTCGCCTTGAGAAACTTTGATGTAGAGATAGAAGTATGCGATGGAGCTCCATCCTGCTGCAAAATTTGACCCCTTTTATGGTTGGGAATGTAAGAGGAGCTAATACTTCTTGATATTTTAGGATATTGATGTTGCCTTCCACCCTGCAAATGTCTCGCACACTCCCATAATGGATGTAACCCCAGACCATGATTTTTCCGCCACCAAACTGAACTGTTTTCTGGGTGAATCTTGGATCCATGCGGGCTCCAGTAGGTCTCCTGCAATATTTGCGGCGGCTGTGATGTTATTCAACCGAGGATTCATCTGAGAAATCCACCTTCTGCCACTTTTCCAGTGTCCATCCTTTTAGCAGGCTGTGGGCCTTGGCAAATGCCACACGGTTTTTTAATTGCCTTTTGTTTAGTGCTGGTTTCTGTGCACTGATTCGACCATGGAGGCCATTTCGAGACAGAATTCTACAAACTGTTGTGGTTGACACAGGGACTTGAGGGTGACCAGGCCTGGTGGAGTCTGCTGCAGTGGAAAAGGGGCTGGCCTTGGATTTTCGAATCAACAAACGGTCCTCCCGAGCAGTTGTCTTGCGGGGTCTGCCGGACCTGGGCTTGTCAAAAACATCTCCAGTCATTTCAGATCTTTTTCTTATTCTTTGTACTTGAGGCTGAGACACATTGAAGGTGTCAGCCACCTCAGCAGTGGATCTGGTCTTCAGCCTCTTGATAATTAACGCTTTGGTCTCAGGGTGGATCTTAGGCATGTTGTCAGAGGTCAAGTTGCAGTTGATGTGAAGGTCTGGTGTGCTGGGGCTTCTTTTTATACACACCCACTAATTGATTGATCAGTAACTGATCACAGGTGAGGCTGTAATCTAGGATTGGGTGCATCATATGACAAGGCGACAAGACTTTTGTCTTGCCAAAATCTGACCTTTCTGTGTTCATTAAATGATCAATCTTTCTTCAGTGAAGCTAATTTATTTTAGTATATTGAGCATAATTTGGGAGGGTTTTAGCTTTCATATGAGACATTTCTAAAACCAATCGATTAATTTAAAGTCAGGTTAGAAGCTTTTGTTTCTACAAAATGGATAAGCGACAAGACTTTTGTCAGGGACTGTATATATATATATATATATAAATATATATTTGAGTCCTGTCCTTTTTAAGTCCAACAGAAGCTGACTGTGTTAGGGCACAAGGAGCGAGGCGTTTTTTTGAGCCTTAGTTTATGCAAATTAGTCATGTGGTTTTAAGTTTCTTTTCTGTACAACGATGCATCTGGACGCAAAAAGTTTCCGATACGGTGATACAGTGATTTGTTTCGCTGTAAACGTA